TCCCTTCTTAGGCGTGAAGAGACTAAGGCTCAGGGCAGGGAATTTGTTCCTGGGGCCGTGGCTGCTAAGCACAGAGTTGGAACCCCAGAGCCCCCTGCTGTGCCAGGGCAGGGACCACCCCTGCCCCAACGGGGCCCAGGCGAAACCTCAGCCAGTGTGGCTGCTGTCCCACGCAGGGCAGCTCCTGGCTGGGGGCTCCCACAGGCTGCCCTGGCCCCCGAGCCACAGAGACACCCCTAGGCGACGTAGAGAAGGAGGGGCTGCTGCCTCTGCTGGATCGTGCCCTGGGTGAGGAGGAGCTCTGTGGGGGCAAAGCAGGGAGCATCAGTAACTGCCGCCACGGCTGCTGTGCCACGGCGGCCACGGCTGCTGTCACTTGTGGTCGTACCCAGAAGAACCACGCCGCTGCAAGAACAGTGCCCTGGACTGGGTCTGTTTCCCCACCCGACAGCAAGCCCAGCGCTCACAGGCATCTGTCACTCGTCCCTTACAACACCCCGTGGAGACCGCGCGATGCTTCCTGCGGCACAGGTAAAGAAACCAAGGCTCAAGAGTTGCCATGCTTGTCCCCAAGAACCCACGGCCAGCAGTCAGGGGACCCCGGTTCCAGCAGCCCTGGGGGTGGGGCTCGCAGCCCACACTCTTTGTTATGATGTAGAGTGCTTCTCCCGCCTACCTTCCTCCCCAGAGTTAAGACGGACAGGCTGCGGTCCACGCCAGTTTTTTCTTTTCTCACGTTATCTGAGCCTTTTCACTTTGGCCGCTGATGAGGAGGAAACAGTTTCCCTCCACCCTCTTGGGCTTAGTCATGGGGGCCTGCAAATTAAACTAAGAAAAGAGAAACTACGCAGTTTTTATTAATATCCATGTGCGCGGGCATTCGCAGAAAATGAGCAGGAAACACATGGGAACAAATGGAGGATGTGAGGTCTGTTTATGCAAACTCCTCGTGGAGCCAACTCCCTTCTCTGATGACGAGAATGGCTCTCCGCTCCCGGGACTCGGGAGGGCAGGGGGAGCCCCTCCGGGGGACCTGCCGCCCTGCCTTTAGGCGGGTCCGGGAGGGCCAGACTGCTGCTGCGCTGTTGATTCTTGGAGGCCTCCAGCTCCGACCCCCATGCTGCACGGGCGAGCCCCTCTCAGCCCCATGGAAACATACAAGAACCTCCCCCACCCCCTCGGGGAGCCCAGGGTTAAGCCACAGCTGCTGGCTCCTTGCCCTGCCTGTGACAGGTGACAATCCTGTCCTGTGCCACCCCGATGCCAGCTGTTGGCTTTCTGTGCTGTGGGGGAGCAGACCCAGGCTTAGGGGTCCTAGAGCCACACCTCCCATGAGGTTTGAGGGGCTGTTGTGCAGGGCCTGTGCCCCCACCTGCGAAATGGGGACAAGAGCGCTGATCCGCCGGAGCTGCACACTGCGAAGCTCAGAGGAGTGATGAATGTGAGGGTCTCGGCAGGACCCCAGGCCGGCTCCTCCTCCCTCTCTGCAGTTCCCGTATGCGGGGCTGGGGAGGGCCACTCCCCAGAGGCCAGCAGCAGAGCTGGGACCGCCCACAGTTCCTGGGCAGGGGAAGGGATGGCTTCCCTCCAGCCACAGCCCGGGCCCAGGCCCTGCTGGGAGCCCCAGGAGGGACAGCCCACCTGGAGGACACACTCTCACTGCAGGGGTCTCCTGGGAGCAGGTGTGCCGGGCAGAGGGCTGCTGGCCCACACTCCACGGGGAGAGGGCTGGGTGGGAGTTTGCTCTTGGTGTGTGTGTATCTGTCCTTGTCTCTGAAAGTTTATATCTATAGCTCTATCTCTATCTATCTATCTATCTATCTATCTATCTATCTATCTATCTCTATCGATCTATCTATGTAGTAAGCTAGGTTAAGGCAATGGGGAGTGACCAGCTCTGGAGGGGGCGGGGCCAGTCTTGCCAGAGAGGCGGCCCCCGAGGAAGTGCTGGCCGGGAACCTGAAGCTGAAGGGGACAGGGAGGCCCCTTGGCTGCCTTCTCAGACCTGCTTTGAGCTCTCTCGAATTATCTCAAAGCCTCTTTATTTATTCAAACACACACGCACGCACGCACACACACACAGGCATACATATGCATGCACGCACATACACACACATGCACACACACATACACACATATGCACACACATACACACACATGCACACACACACAAAGCAAGAGAAGACTGCAAGTGGGAGAGAGCAAGCCAAGTCCCCACGCTGGGCTGTCCTGGTGGCACTGGGGTCAGGGTGGCTCCAGGGCTGACCTCAGAAGTGAGCAAGGCTGCCAGGGACCCGAGTGTGACTGTCCCCCGGTCTCCCTCGCGGAGACACTGAGGCAGGTGTGGGCAGCAGTGGCACCCAGCCTCCCCTACACACCCCTGCCAGGGCCGGGAGGGTGACAGGACATGGGGTTTGGAGAGCAGGACCCAGCTGCACAAACCGAACTGGACGCCGAGTTGCCCTGGCCACCACTCTGTCCCCACAGTGCGCCCTGGGCCCGGTGGCCCATGGGTAGGAAGGGGCCAAGGGTGGCAGGAAGTCTCCTAGCCCTGAGGACTCTCCTGGGGTGGGGGTGATCACCCTTTCCCCCAGCTTTCTGCCTTCTGCACATCCCACCCCCACTGTGTGGTCCCTGAGAGCATCCCATCCCCCACCCCCTCCAGGGGCCCCCAGGACTGAGTCAGGGACAGGCTGGGAAGGAGTGTGGGAGGTAGGGTGGGACACGGCCCTGGGGCCAGAGAGACCTGAGTTCAAATTCCAGCCCTGGCACCCATCAGCAAGTGACTCACTGGGGAGGTTCCGTTTCTGCAGCTGCAAAACGCGGGCGCCAACCCCAGCGTCCTGAGGCAGTGCGGAAGCTGGGGCACAGCGCAGGTGTTCCGTGGCCTCTGCCCCCTCCCCAGCCCCAGGGGTCTCTGAGACCCCGAGCCAGCAGGAAGCAGGGCTGCGGCATCCTCCCGGCTCTGCCTCCCTCAGTCCTGTTTTGTTTTGTTTTGTTTTTAACATTTCTAAAAGCCAGAATTACAGAGAGGAAGAAACAGAGAGAGGGAGAGACAGAGAGAGAGAGAGAGAGAGGTCTTCCATCTGCTGGTTCACTCCCCAGATGGCCATAGTGGCCATGGCTGGACCAGGCCAGAGCCAGGAGCCAGGAGCTTCATTCAGGTCTCCCATGTGGGTGGAGGGAACTAAGCACTCGGGCCATCTTCGGCTGCTGTCCCAGGCCATAGCAGAGAGCTGGATGGGAAGCGGAGCAGCCGGGACTCGAACCGGTGCCCAAGTGAGTTGCTGCCGTTACAGGCAGTGGCTTCACCGGCTATGCCACAGCACCGGCTCCCATCCGGGGTCTTTGGGTGAGGCAGGTGGAGCACCTACGCTCTCCTGGGACTCGCTCCTTCCTTGGTGCCTCTTGTCCGATTTCAACAACTAGGAATTGGTTCAGTGCAAAAGTCACAGGGCTGGGGGAACCCACGACCTGGCTGCCTGAGACCCCACTGGACCATTCTGCTTCCTGACCCCAGGTTCCACGACTTCAGCAATCTGAGTTTCATTCATTCATTCATTCATTCACTCATTCAGCAAGCACCTGTTGGTCACCCACTGGGTGCTGAGCCTGCGGCAGGCGATGAGGTGGTCACAGCACTGCCCAGCTCCCCGCCCAACCGTGCCCACCTGGGACCAGGCATGTTCGGTCCTCAGCCCTGGGCTTGCCCCCCCAGCATGGACTCTCTCAGCTGCCCCCTCCCAGGGGACGGACACCGACCCTGCTCTGTCTCAGATGGAAACAAATCCCGAAGAATCTCAACCAGCCAGGGTCACCCCGTGGTCTTGGGCCACCGCTGGTTTAGGGTGAGCAGTCCTGAGGGCGGCCTGCGATCAGTGAGGGGACACAAGGAAGAGACAGCGTCTTCTCCTCCGGGTGCTGTGGCCTGAGGTCTGGAACCATGGCTGCCATCTTGGAGCCATGAGGGAAGCCAGCCGTGGGCAGAACCAACACAGCGCGGGTGGCCCAGCCAGGAGCAGGAAGGGAACCGGCTCCGATGACCCCACCAAGCTGTGGCAGAACCGTATTTGGTGCTCTCGTCTGGACTCCTTGTTACGGGAGGTTATACGTGTCTTCATCACTCCAGCTTTCAGATGGACACTTCTTGACCCAACGGGATGAGATCTGGCAGCAAAGCGGGAAGAGGCTGGGCCACAGCTGTGGCTCCGCCTCCACGCTCTGCGCCTCAGGTCCCTGCATTTTAAGATGGGGACGATAATGCCACATGTACCAGCACTGAGAGAAAGAAGACAATGTCCCTGAGCCCCAGGGAGCTCTGGCGGACAGACAGGAGTCACCCACTCCTGGTGCTGTGTCGTGAACGAGTGGAGTCTTACTCCTCTACAGCTGGGTGGGAAGAAGGCACCACTGATCGGCTACTCTCTCCTCCTGGCCTCTCCAGAGGTGACGACGGAGGTGGTCACTACGTAACAGCGCCACTCATCCTGTGGGGCCCATGGAAGGGGTCTGAGCCCTGCTGGGCAAGCTAAGAGCTTGATCTTCACAAATCTCATTCAGTACTCACGCTGAGTACTCTTATGTTCATCTCTGCCTTCCACACAAGGAAGCAGCTTCCTTGTGTAAGGTCCATGGGGAGTCAGTGGTATAACTCGAAGAATAGATAAAAAATAGATTCTAGCACAGCCTTCCTCCCTCCGTACCAATATCCCCCCACCCCGCCCCGAGAGTGCGACACAGAACGGGAATCTGAACCCAGAGCCCAGAGTTCTTAATTCCTGTTAGACTGCTTCCCCCAAGCCACCGAGTTTCAGGACAACAGCTCCGTCAGCCGTCACACGGATGTGTGTCACCGACGGCAGAGTGTGGGTGGTCCCAGGCGTCTCTGTCCTCTGACTGGCAGCACAGTTCATCCAGTGTGAGTGACAGAGTGTGGGTCTTTCGGTGAGACAGGGAGCCGTCGGAAGCCAAGTGCCCGGTACATAAGGCCCCAGAGAGCGTCTTACGCAATTGATTTATTGAGGGAGTGCTCTCCACAGAAACCGGCAGGGAACCAGGAAAACAGGCCAGGCCAGGGGGAGACAGGAAGCCGAGTGGTGGCTCCAGGAGGAGCCTCTGGGGCGTGGTGGCGCCGGATCCCGGGAGAATTCTGGGAAGTTGCAGCACCAGGAGCTCCTGCCCAGAGGTGAGGGGCTGGGCAGTTACCCCTCTCATGGTGCCTGTGTGTGTGTGTGCATGTGTGTGTGTGCTTTACTTATTTATTTGAGAGTCAGAGAGTGGGAGAGACAGAGATAGTGGGAGAGACACAGAGAGAGAGATCTTCCATTGCATGGTTCACTCCCCAAATGCCTGCAACAGCCAGGGCTGGGCCAGGATGAAGCCAGGAGCCAGGAATACAATCTAGGTCTTCCACATGGGTGGCAGGGGTCTAAGTACTCGGGCTATCAAGTACCCAGAGAGCTGGATCAGAAGCAGAGCAGCTGGGACTTAAACTGGGGCTTGGCAATGGGATGCAAGCGTGGCAAGTGGAGGCTGAACCCTTGCAACACATCTGCGCCTCGCCACGGTGTTACTGTCTGCAGGCCATGGTGGCCCCTGGCAGGTGGAGGCGGGGGTGGGGCAAAGTGGTCTTGGTGCAGACGGGGCGGCTCCTGCTAACATTCAGGGGCCTGGCCGCTGCAGCGGGGCCGCCAGTAGTAACGCAGGTGCTTCTGGTAGGTGTCCAGGTTGCGCTTGAAGCAGAGGGCCACCTCCTTGTCACAGGCACACAGCTGCTGCTCACACCAGCTCCCCTTGTCCGCTGTGGGGGGAGGGGCGGGCTTGGTGTCTGTCTCCCTCCCTGGGGCAGGGCTCAGACCTCTGGAGGCGGTGCAGCCCCCACTCAGTTTTGGAAGAACCCAGCCCAGCAGCCTTGACTCTCGCTGCACAACCCTGGGCCAGGATGAAGCCAGGAGCCAGGAACGCGATGTGGATCTCCCACATGGGTGGCAGGGGCCCAAGCACTTGGTCCCCCCGTGCACCCCTGCTCCTCTGCTTAGCTACTCCCCATTCCCTGAGCACCCAGGAGACCTCAGCACAAGGGACATGGGGGTGGGGGTGGGGCGGGAAGCAGATATTGGAGCCCTGCGAATAAGCAACCTGGGCCATGAGAAGCAGGGAAGATTCAGGGCTGTGAGATCACGCCAGTGCGTCAGGGAGCCGCTGAGCTGAGATCTGAAGGGTCCTCCAGAAAGCTGGGCTGGGCTGGAGGCCGAGCGGTTCCGGGCTAGTGGAACAGTGTGTGCAAAGACTGCCGGGAAGGGGGACCCCGGAGCTCCAGCTTCTGCAAAGTGGGGATAAGAGCTCCCCCTAGGGGCTGTGGTAGGAAGGCACACTCTAGGCTCACAGTAAGTGTGGACATTATTATGACGCCCTCCAGGACAGCGGCCAGCTGCGATGGGCCCTTCGGACTCCCAGCCCTGGGACCCGCTGCCTTTCTCCAAGCTGCCGAGGCCGGCCCTGCCACAGGGACTAGGGGACCTGGGTTCGGGGCCAGACTGTCATTTGCAGGCCTGTGACACCTCAGCAAACACTCCCCCACTCTGGTTTGGGTTCCTGGTGTGCAAGATGGAGGTCCCCAAGGTTTTGCTGCACCCTCGCTGGCTGTTCCCAGGGCTGACACCCAGGCAAGCGAAGGCGACGACCCAGGCCCCTCTGTGGTTCAGAGTGCGCCCATGCCCCCGGGGAGGCTCACTCCGGTCTCCCGCTCATTCCTGCCATAACTCGACGAGGGAGATGACGATGCGGTCACAGGGCTGGCGGTGGTGGGCCTGGCTTCCGGATGCTGGAGGCCCTCTCCCCAGCTCTACATCGCCCAACCCAGGCCAGCTGCTGCCCCAGAACCCCTGAGAACAGAGAGGCTGGGCGGCCTGTGCACGGTCACCCAGCCTGTGCCAGCAACGAGGGCCCCACACTCACAGCACTGGACGTGGCCCTCGGCAAAGGTGTATCTGTAGCTGTCCACGAGCGGGTGGCAGCCGTGGGTCTTCTTCAGCCTGGCATAGCAACAGTCGTGGACCCGGCAGCACCTGCAAGGGGAGCGTGGGTATGGGGGAGGCAGGGTCCCCCGCCGACTCGGGGCTCTGTCTGCCCCCAGCTGCCCCCTGGAGAAGAGCCAAGGCCTGCAGGTGTCCAGCCTTCCCATGAAGCCAGGAGCTAACACTCACTGAGAATGTCCAGGCCTCTGCTTTCTCCACGCACCCTCTCATCCTCACAACCACCCCGTGATGCAGGTGCTGGTATTAGCTCCATTTCACAGATGAAGAAACCGAGGCACAGAGAGGTCAGGCCACTTGCCCCAGCTCACACAGCCTGTGAGCTGTAGCTCAGGGGAGCGGGCCCAGCCTGGCTGACCCCAGGGTCAGCATGAATCCGCTCAGTGAATGGAGGAGTGGAGAGGAAGGGAGCGAGTCCCAGGGTTGGGGGCAGGCCTGGGGAGGGGTTACCAGTCTGTGGCGTCCTTGGGTTGGCCTCTGCCACCGATGCCGCAGTGACAGCCGTAGGACCAGTAGGAGAGGATGGGTGTCTTGTTGGTCACTTGCTTGACCATCTTGTTCAGGTTCAGGATCCCTCCCTGGCCTGGAATCACACCTGCCAGGCAGCCAAGGGGCCAGGGAAGGGGTGAGTCTCTGGGAGGGCCAGGGGGCCACAGGGCGGGCACTGCTGCTCTGCCCGCCCAAATGAGGGATCTCGAGTGAGAACGGTGACAGAACGATGACAACTACTACGGCTGTTAGAAATAGAGGATGGCGGCTGGCGCTGTAGTGTAACGTGTTAAGCCATCACCTGCAGTGCCGGCACCACGTATGGGCGCCGGTTCAAGCCCTGGCCACTCCACTTCCAACCCAGCTCCCTGCTAATGCACCTGGGAAAGCAGCAGAAGATGGTCCAGGTCCTTGGGTCCCTGCACCCACATGGGAGACCCAGAAGAAGCTCCTGGCTTTGGCCTGGCCCAGCCCTGGCTCTTGTGGCTGTTTGGGGGGTGAACTGGTAGATGGAAGATCTATCTCTCTGTCTCTCTCTGTAACTCTGCCTTTCAAATAACTAAAATAAAAATTATTTTGAAAAAAGTAAAGTGATGCTGGGCACTTGGCCCAGTGGCCCTGGGCTCAAGTCCCGCCTCCAGTCCCTGACTCCAGCAGTCTGCTCTGAGCCCCGGGAGGCGGCACGTGATAGCTCATGTGGATTCCTGCCACCAACATGGAGACCTGCATTGAATTCCAGGTTCCTGCTTCAGGCTGGAATCCCAGCCACTGTGGGCATTTCAGGAGCGAACCAACAAATGGGCACTCTCTGTCTCTCTGTGTGTGTCTGTTTCTCTGCCTCTCAAATAAATAAGTAAAAAGTGTTTGAATTTAAAAAATATATAGTGAGAGTTATCAAGTGCTCAGTATGGATCTTTTTGCATTGTAAGTTCATTGACATCACCCTATGAGATAAATACTATTTTTAAATAAATGAACTTCTAAATGAACTTATTCAGAACAAGTAACTTTTTAAATAATTCTAGATGTGCAGATAATTCACACAGATAACACAGAGAGCTCCTACGCACCTCGCCCAGTCTCTCTTAGTGTTACTGGCCTACATAATTACAGTGCATTGTGAAAACTAAGAAACTACCATTGGTTTTTTAAAATTTTTTTTATTATTTGGAGAGGGAAAGAGAGAGAGGAAGAGAGAGAGGGATGTCCTATCCGCTGTTTGCTCCCCAAATCCCCACAACAGCCAAAGCTGGCCAGGCAGATGCCAGGAGCCAGGAACTCGAGTTAGGTCTCCCGCAGGGGTGGCAAGAACCCAGCTGCTTGATCCACCACCTGCTCCCTCCTAGGGTGCCCATTCGCAGGAAGCTGGCATTGGGCACAGAACTGGGACTCAGTTTCCGTCACCCCAGATAGGAGATGTAGCACATTAAGCACGAGGCCAATTCCCTACCCTGTCTGTCCCTTGCCTTGTCTTTTTACAAAAGCTTTATTTGAAAGGCAGAATGACCGAGAGAGAGGAAGAAAGGGAAGAGGATCTTCATCTGTTGGCTCGCTCCCCAAGTGGCCAAAGTAGCAGGGGCTGGGCCACGCGGAAGCCAGGAGCTGGGAGCTCCTCTGGGTCTCCCTCATGAGTTCCTGGGAGCATTGACAAGAGGCTGAATTGCAAGCAGAGTGACCGGGACTCGAACCAGGCGCTCCAATATGGGAAGTGGCGGCTCTAAGCCTCGATGCCTGCCCTGCCCCGTTGTGTTTTGCTTTGTTCTTGCAAAGCACAGAGATAGAGACAGAGGCATGGATGCTAGTTGTGATTCCCTTGCTACAGACGAGCAGACAGAGGCTCAGAATCTCGCTCAAGGTCACGGTGACTGATAATGGAGCCAGAATTGGAACCCAAGGCAGGCCAGGTCCCTCCGTCTCTGAGCATGGAGGTCCCGCTGCCCGTCACAGGAGGAACACCCCTTCCACTCTTCTTCCTGCCCCTGTCCCATCCTGCAGGGAAAGCCCAGTGCTGAAGATGGCCTTGTGCGGCAGGGTTTGGGAACCAGCGCTTGCGTTCCAGACCCACCAGCTGCTGGTGAGAACTCACCTCGTGGGAGGGAAGCGTGCGTGGTGCTGAGTTAGGATATTGCATCAAGGGGTCCAGGCAGGTTGGAGAAACAGACAACAAGGCGACAAGGGGCTGGACACGGAACCCAAGAGGTTCTTCAAGAACACGGGGCGCGCACGTCCTCCCGCCCCCAAGCTCAGGCACAGGAGGTCATGCTGAGCGCGCCTCACACCAAGTGAGTAGGAAGCAGGAGGTGAGCCCCAGGTTGGCGGAGGCGGAGATGGGGAGTGACTCGAGCCAGGGCAGAGAGAGATCAAGATCCCGGGCAGGTGGCCTTGGCCTGCACATGACAGCTGTACCGGCGTGTCGCCTCCCGTCGCCACCCCCGACTGGCGTGGTGGCTCCAGCTGCATGGGACATTAGGAAGAAACCCTGCCAAGCCTGACTGTGGCGCTGACGACCCAGGCCCGCTGGAGTCTCCTGCGTTCCGTGTTTAGGAACTCCAGGGAAAAATGAATTAGAGAGAGAGAGAGAGAGAGAGAGAGAGAGAGCGAGAACCCGTCTTGTAGACCAGAGACCTGAGTGCAGAACCTTGCCTTTCCGGGTGCCCCGTCCCCCTTCTTGTCTATAATCTCACCCCTTCAATCACGGCTCGGAGACTTACGCCAAACTCATAGCAAAGTGAGGCGCCCGCCCGCGGCAGCCTTGGGCTCAGGGTGCTGTGGGGTGGCCTCGCTTCTCGTGACTTCGGAGGGAGGAGAACCCAGCCTGAGCAAGGGACGCAGCCTTCGGGGCGCTGGCTGAGCTTGCCTGCGCTTCCTGCCTCGGGTGCTTTCCTCATCCTTTGGCTGCCACTCCGCGGGACGGAGCCCCTTCTCTCCGGTGAGGGCAGAGAGGCGGTCACCACCATTTTCTGTGCAGCGCCACGTGAGAAGCCATTGCCCCCTTGCCGTTCCCGACACTTGCTCAGCTCTTTGCATCTGATTGCTCAGGAGAGCCTTTCCTAGAATCCTATGAACAGCATGCAATGGTGCCCATTTCACAGATGAGAATGTAGAGAGGTTGGGTGTCTTGGCCAGGGTGACACTGCCAGATGACTGTAGGGCCAATGCGTTTGAGTCCCCGTGGCATATTGCTGCTTCTTCTTTATAAAAGACTGGTTTATCTTATTTGAAAGGCAGAGTTACAGAGAGAGGGAGAGATGGGATGGGGCAGGGGGTGGAGACAGAGAGAGAGAGAGAGGGAGAGAGAGAGTGGGAGTGAAAGAAACAGAGAGAGAGACAGACACAGAGAGAAAGATCTTCTGTCCACTGGCTCACTCCCCAGATGGCCACAACAGCCAGGGCTGGCCCAGGCTGAAGCCAGGAACCTGGAGCTCTGTCTGGGTCTCCCCTGTGGGTAGCAGAAGCCCAAGTACTCGGATCACCCTCTGCTGTTTTCCCAGGCACATTAGCAGGGAGCTGCATGGGAACCCCAGCAGCTGGGACTCCAAGAGGTGCCCTTCCTTGTGGGTTGCCAGCATCGGAGGCGGCAGCTTAGCCCACACCACAGCGCACTTTCTCTTTACATGTGAGGGATGAATTTCTGTAACTGATCGCAAATCTCCTAATGGATTTCACTATACCTCTGAAGAAGGCTTTCTCTGGAGAGTCCTAGACCACTTTTTACCAATGCAAATCTCTCCAACTAGCTCCTGTTTTGAGAGATGAGTAAGCCAGTTTGCAACCACAATTTTCCATCTCATCTGCTAAACACGGGGTGCACTCTGTCCCCTCCCACAATGACCAACAGAACCCTGTTCCCAGGAGCCAAGGTCATCGCACAGCAAGCTAAGCCACCGCCCGCGACGCCAGCATCCCGTATATCAGAGCACAGGTTCCAGTCCTGGCTGCTCTGCTGCCAACCCAGCTCCCTGCTAAAGCAGTGGAAGATGGCCCGAGTGCTGGGCCCCTGTCACCTGGCTCCTGGCCTCTGCCTGGATGTGCCCTGGTCATCGAGGCCATTTAGGGAGTGAACCAATGGATGGAACAGATCTCTCTCTCTCTCTCTCTCTCTCTCTCTCTCTCTTCCCTTCAAATAAATTAATGAATCTTGAAAAAAAAATGAAAAAAGAACTCTCTTCCCAGGTGCAAAGACGATGAACATGAAAGGGTCCTAGAAACAGAGGACTATGCTAATGTGAAGGATCACACCCAACCTCTCTACACTCTCATCTGTAAAATGGGCAGAGAGACGGTGGGCAAGGGGAGATGGGGCACCCATTTCTGTAATCTGTGTCCCGGACACCACAACCAGCAGCCCAGCAGGCCCAGGGGCTGGACTCCCAGCTCCCCGCCATCACGGCAGCCAGAGGGACCCCCAGAGCTCTCTGGCTGAAGCCACCATCCCAGGGGCCTGGCATCAGGATGAGAAGCAGAAGTGTTGGGTCTAGGGAACCAGGGCACTGGGGACCAGAGCAGCGGCAGCCCGGTCCAGGGAAGTGAACCCAGGGCTTCCCAGCATCCCGCCTTCCCCTCCCAGCTGCGGGTCCTGGCCCGACTCACCAGCCATCACCAGTAGCCCGCACAGCAGAGGAAGCTCCATGACCCCGGCGCCGAGCCGTGCAGTGGCCGCTGGAAGTCCCCTTGCACACAGGCAGCCTCTTATAGCAGACAAGCCCGCATCCGGCCCAGCCCCAGCTCCAGGGGGAGCGACCTGCTCCTCTGCTTCCTCTTTCCCCGTGCCAGGGAATCTTGGCAACTTGTTAAAAGTTTTACTTATTTATTTGAGAGGAGGAGAGAGAAGGGGGTGGGGAGCTGCCGTCCACTGCTTCACTCCCCGAATGCCCTCGATGGTCAGGGCTGAAGCCAGGAGCCAAAGCTCACTCCGGGTCTCCCAGTGTGGGTGGCAGCGATCCAATTACTTGAGCCAACACCACCGCCTTCCAGGGTCTACACGGGCAGGAAATGGAATTGGGAGCCAGAGCTGGATATCGAACCCAAGTACTCAGAGGAGACCCGGGCACCAGCACCAGCATCCCACTGCCAGGCCACGCACCTGCGGCTAGAGTTTTAAATGTTAACATCTGGGTTTTTTTCCTTTTTGATAAAAGAAACATACTTGCAGTATAGAAGATGTGGAAAACATGATCAGTAAGAAATTTAAAATCACCTGTGCACCTGTGAACATTTTGTTATGTACTCTTCTGGCTCCATTGCCATCGGTCCACTTGTAGCATACGCAAGGGTACTTCAAAACATCATGGGAAATAGAATTAAAAGGTAAGTTTGTTTGAGTGCAAAATTTTTCCAAATCCATGCATAGTTCTTTCATAATATGCATTTTCCTGTGAACATTTTAAGAACTCCTTGTATGTGTGGATTTCAACATTTTCGTAGCACAATAAACATCTTTTAATTCCATTTTCCACGAATTTTGAAAGCCCTTGTGTCCATATGCATGCATGTTTGTCTGCTGTCTATCTCTGTATTTTCCCCTGACCACATTAGGAAATGTTTTATGTAGTATTTTTTTTTTGACAGGCAGAGTGGACAGTGAGAGAGAGAGAGACAGAGAGAAAGGTCTTCCTTTGCCGTTGGTTCACCCTCCAATGGCCGCCGCGGCCGGCGCGCTGCGGCCGGCGCACCGCGCTGATCCGATGGCAGGAGCCAGGAGCCAGGTGCTTTTCCTGGTCTCCCATGGGATGCAGGGCCCAAGCACCTGGGCCATCCTCCACTGCACTCCCTGGCCACAGCAGAGGGCTGGCCTGGAAGAGGGGCAACCGGGACAGAATCAGGTGCCCCGACCGGGACTAGAACCCGGTGTGCCGGCGCCGCTAGGCGGAGGATTAGCCTAGTGAGCCGCGGCGCCGGCCTTTATGTAGTATTTTTAAAAGCGATTATCTATCTATCTATCTATCTATCTATTTAAAGGCAGAGTAACACAGAGAGAGGGAGGGAGGGAGGGAGAGAGAGAGAGAGAGAGAGAGAGAGAATCTTCTTCCATCTGCTGATTCACTCCCCAAATGGCCACAAGTTTCCCCTGAAGCCAGGAGCCTGGACCCTCATCTGGGTCTCCTACGTGGGTGGCAGGGCCCGAGCACTTGGACCATCTTCTTTTAGTTTCCCGGGTGCATTAGCAGGAAGCTGGATCAGAAGCAGAGCAGCAGGGACTTGAACCTCATGGGACGCCGGCATCGCAGGCGGTGGCTTAACCCACTGCGCCACAGCCCCAGCCCCTCATAGCCTGTCTTTCATCACGGGTATAACCTGAACATATTTCTATTTCATTCAATGTTCTTCTGCAGCAAGATCATGAAAGGCACTTTATATTCCACGGTTTTTCCAATGAATCCCGACGTGACGGACAGACGGGCTGTTGACAATTTTTACTGTTCTAGATCTCAGTGCACGAGCTGAGTTGTTTCCTAACATGAACTTGTTGAGTCAAAGAATAATTGAGAGCAACTGATGTGTGCTGACACCTTAGCCCGCGGAAGATCTCGTGGGAAAACTAACGAGGCAGAGGACGCAGCCCAGCCCAGGCCAGGAGGAAGAGCTGATGGCATCGGCAATGTTCAGAGACGCCAGCCTTGGGGGCTCCATGGATGACCTTGAGCACGGAAGATGGGATTTGTTTCTTGAGGCTTGTACAGGACTGTTCAAGGCCAATGCCGAGACTGACCCTTTGCTGCCAGCCAGTCAGTCCACCGAGAAACCGCACCAGCAAGAGTCTCTGCTGGAAGTTGGTTCTCTCTCTCTCTCTCTCTCTCTCTCTCTCTCCCACTCTATTCTCCTTTTTAAATCCAATTTCCCCCTTGATTCCTTGAATCAGTCAAGCACCTGACCACCTCATCTGTGATGCAGCAATCCACAGGACAATATCAAACAGTATAGTCTAAAAAAAAAAAAAAAAAATGGATGGCCGGCACTGTGGCTCAATAGGCTAATCCTCCGCCTTGCGGCGCCAGCACACCGGGTTCTAGTCCTGGTCGGGGTGCCGGATTCTGTCCCGATTGCCCCTCTTCCAGTCCAGCTCTCTGCTGTGGCCCGGGAGTGCAGTGGAGGATGGCCCAGGTCCTTGGGCCCTGTACCTGCTTGGGAGACCAGGAGAAGCACCTGGCTCCTGGCTTCAGATCAGCGCGGTGCGCCGGCCGCAGTGCACCTGCCACAGTGGCCATTGGGGGGGTTAACCAACGGCAAAGGAAGACCTTTCTCTCTGTCTCTCTCTCTCACTGTCCACTCTGCCTGTAAAAAAAAAAAAAGGAAAGGAAAACCTCATTATTGAGGAGAGGGTGTTGTGGTGCAGTGAGTTAGGCCACTGCTTGGGACACTCGAATCCCATGTCAGGATGCCATGTGGAGTCCTGGGTACTCTGCTTCCTGCTAATGTACCTGCCGATGGCTCTAGGACATGGGTCCCTGCCTCCACGTGGGAGACCCAGCTGGAGTTCCAGGCTCCTAGCTTCCGCCTGACTCAGTGCTGGCTATTGTAGGCACTTGAGAAGTGACTCTGCAGTTAGAAGATCTCTCTCTCTCTCTAATAAATGAACACATAAATAAAGTCTTTTAGAACACAGCCTCGCTACTGAGTGTGATTGATGTGTATTTCATGGGTACAAGCCAAGGGGTTTGGCGATAACCATCCCCATTGCTGAGATCACAGATGCACCCCTCACCTGCAGAGTGCCCTCCGCTGGGCGTGTTCTGAGCCACACCACCCTCACCTGCCCTCAGTAGCCACCCTGGACACTCTTATCAAGGGGTGTTTTACCCTGAGCACCGCCTTCTAGATCTCGGCTCCTGACAGGGGCACGTGGCCACCTCCAGGACCCCTGCCCTTCCTCTCTGGGACCACCTGGGCAGGAGCAAAAGCAGCCAGGGGCCGGTGTTGCGGCGTAGTGCACTGAGCCGCAGCCTTCAACGCCACCATCCCATGTGGGCGCTGGTTCCTGTCTTGGCTGCCCCACTTCCAACCCAGCTCCCTGCTGATGCACTTGGGAAAGCAACAGAGGACGGTCCAAGTGTTTGGGCCCCTGCATCCACGTGGGAGACCTGGATGAAGCTCCTGGCTCCTGGCTTCAGCCTGGCCCAGCCTCAGCCGTTGCCACCATTTGGGGAATGAACCAGCGGATAGAACATCTCTCTCTCTCTCTCTCTCTCTCTCTCTCTCTCTGTAACTCTGTCTTTCAAATAAATAAATAAATTAAAAAAAAAACTAATAAGATAAGCAGCCAGAAGCACAAACTCTTTGTTGATTCCAAGAGCCTTTTCCCTCACAGGAAAACAGGCATGGTGTTGACATTGCCAAGAGGCCATAAAACCCTAGCACCAAAAGAGGCCTTAAAAATCCTGGCCATGGCTGGGGGCCCCAAGGAACACCCAGCTGGCTGGGATCAGACCTGGTTCCTTCTCCTGCCAGCTGTGCGCTGCCGGGCACTCCACCCCACCCCCACCCCCGCCCCCAGCCCGGGTTTCTCCTTTGCACAACGAGGCCAGTGGTCCCTCCCTTCTCTGACTGCTCTGGGGCTTGCAGATGACACACACAAAGCACACGGCGTTACACCTCGCCCAGCGAGAGGACGCCACCGCAGCCACCGCAACACGGGTGCTGCCGCCCGACCCAGGGGTTAAAGAAAGATGGGACTCAAACCCTGACTGCCTGGGGCCACAGGTGGCCTCCCCGCCGCCCAGCCGCTTAACCCGCGGCAGGCTGCTCCTTCCTCCAATGTGGAAGAAGGACGGGGATTAAAGGAGACGCTGCAGGAACCGGGCTCGGTCCACAGCTGGAGGCCACTAAATGCTGGCCGTGGTTGCTTCCACCACCGGCCCCATCTTCATCTTCATCGGCACAGCTTGTGAGAAGCACAATGGATCGCTGACCTCGGCTCTGCTCTGCTCTGCTCGGCTCGCCCTCCGTACATCTGGCCTGGGCCTTTTTATATCTCCCATGCTCATTCTGAACATGTCCCAGCTTTCTCTTCTCTTCTCTTCTCTTCTCTTCTCTTCTCTTCTCTTCTCTTCTCTTCTCTTCTCTTCTCTTCTCTTCTCTTCTCTTCTCTTCTCTTCTCTCTCTCTCTCTCTCTTTTTTTTTTTTTTTTTTTTGACAGGCAGAGTGGACAGTGAGAGAGAGAGACAGAGAGAAAGGTCTTCCTTTGCCGTTGGTTCACCCTCCAATGGCCACCACGGCCGGCGCACCGCACTGATCTGATGGCAGGAGCCAGGTGCTTATCCTGGTCTCCCATGGGATGCAGGGCCCAAGCACTTGGGCCATCCTCCACTGCACTCCCTGGCCACAGCAGAGAGCTGGCCTGAAAGAAGGGCAACTGGGACAGAATCAGGTGCCCCGACCGGGACTAGAACCCGGTGTGCCGGCGCCGCAAGGCAGAGGATTAGCCTAGTGAGCTGTGGCGCTGGCCTCTCTCTCTCTTTTTTAAAGATTCACTTTATTTATTTGGAAGACAGAGATACAGAATGAGAAGAGAGGGGGGAGAAAGAGAGAGAGAGAGAGAGGTCTTCCATCTGCTGGTTCACTCCCCAAATGGCCACAACGGCTGGGACTGGGCCAGGCTGAAGCCAGGAGCCAGGAGCTTCACCCGGGTCTCCCACATGGGTGGCAGGGGCCCAAGCACTTAGACCATCTTCTGCTACTTTTCAGGCACATTTGCAGGGATCTGGGTCAGAAGTGGTGCAGCTGGGACTTGAACCCATATAGGTTG